CCTATATGCTTCAGTTTAATCCTCTCCCTGCTATTTTAATGTCTATATTGTTTGGTTCAAAATGTTGAAAATGAATGTATTCGTGTACTGAACGGGGACCACACACCCTGAGTAGCAATTAGAACACAGGGAAAACCGCAACTTAATTGCTACTAGGTGGCCGCCATTCGACATACGAACACGTGGCGAGAACAAAGGATGGCGGCCATCTTAAAACTCACGAATACGGTCAGCAGGGCTTACTCATGAATTGCATGGAACTGTTTTCAGTACGGGAACCATGCGAACGCCCGGTCCCCATGGAAGTCCTGGATGAATACGTTCCCCTCCACGAATCAAATTGGCGTTCGGTAGATAGTATCTACCGAATGAGGGGAACATTCACAGGTAACCAGCTGAACCATACGAACGGTGGTTTTCGTGTAGTTAGATGCGAACGGAGACCGGCTCTTGCTACTGATTCTATGGAACTGTAACTCGGATACCTCCACATGGCAAGCCGGTCAAACTTCCACACGATGCGACACGGAAACTACCGAACGGAAATTCGTGAGATTTGGATATGTGACTACCAGTATCCTCAGCTACCCAGGGATGTCAAAAGTATATTTGTATGTCTTATAAAAAGTATGTTTCTGAAATTGTTATAAATTGTAATGTTTCTGGCCAGCAGATAATTGAGCTTTGTGTATTGTAGAAACTCAATTATCTAACCTGGCCCACAGGAGGAGTTTTGTGTTGCATAAATTGTGAGTTCTGTGTGCCAGTAAATCAGTCTTGTTCCAGCATTAAGCTTTGGCTCATGTGTGGATTATTCGGTGATTCCAGGGATATTTCTGCTTATGGAATATTGAGTGCTTTTCTTTTATGGGAAGAAGGGAATGCTTGACGGGGATATTTTCTACTACCGTCACAACTGGTTGGCAGCGGCGGGATTTTCCCTTCTACTCCTTTACACCAGGATTCCAAGCAGACACTGGGAACAGTGAATGGAAGGCTGGTACACCCTGCTTAAAAGAAATACACTGAAAGAACTACTGGAAGCGCGTGGAAGGATTGCTAGCAACAAAACCAAGCGGGTCATCATAGCAGAATTAATGGAGCTAGACCAGGAGAACTTGGTTGCAGCAATGCCAGCAGTACAAGAGATGGAGACACCAGTGATTCAGGAGGAGGAATCACCAGCCAACAAAGAATTGAGAGAGAAGCTAGCATGGTTCGGTCCGAACCCAACGGCGGATGTGGTGCTGAAAGTGATGAACCTGTTAGCGGAGGAGGCTAAACAAATAAGAGACGCAGATCTACAGTTAAAACTGGCAGCAGTCCAACAAGCAGCCGCACATTCTCCAAACAGTGAGTACAGCACAGCAGACACAAGGAAGATTCCGTTTAGCGCTTTTAAAGCTTTTGATAAAAAAGACTGTGAGATTGATAACTACCTGGCAGATTTTGAGCGACAATGTAACCTGCACCGAATAGCTAGGGGAGAGTGGGTTTCAGTATTGTCAGGCAAATTGTCAGGCAAAGCTTCTGATGCTTTCCGGACCGTGCCAGAACAGGAGATCCATAGCTACGCCAGGGATAAAGAAGTGCTCCTGGCTCGTTATGCAGTAACCCCAGAGTCCTACCGACAGAAGTTCAGGGACTCACGCAAAACCACGAAAGACTCTTACGTGGAATGGGCATGCCAGTTATCCCTGTCGGCCTCTAACTGGGTTAACAGCAGCCAGGCCACCACCGCAGAGGACATTCTGCAACTAATGCTCCTGGAGCAATTTTACAATCACATCCAGACGGATGTCAAAGACTGGGTGAGAGATTGCAGGCCCATGACTCTACCAGAGGCCGCTAAGTTGGCGGATGAATATGCGGATACTCGCAAGACGAACCAGGTCACACCACGGGTACAGCCTCCACGACCAACGGTGCCCTCACACCCACCAGCCGCTAGATACCAACCCCCTAACCGACCGGTGACATCTAACCCTCGCTATCCACGCCAGGAGGACAATGAACAACGCTGCTTCCGGTGCAAACAGCTGGGTCACTTCAAGCAGAATTGCCCCATGGACAACAACACCAGGTCAAATTGGTCTCGACCTGGGTACCGCCCACCAGCAGCAGCCCATTGTGTAGACTCGGCTTGGGATCCCCATGAGCTGGGTCAGGAAGAACCATTGGGCACCCTTTACGAAGTCCTCATGGTACAATCCGTCATTACGGACAATAGGAAACACCATTGTCAGCTGGTCATGGTTAACGGCAAAACCGCCCGGGGATTAAGAGACAGTGGGGCGACCATCACGTTGGTACAAAGACACCTTATTAATGCATCAGAGAAACCGGGGAAATCATTTGCTGTGAGAGTGGCGGGGGGGCATTATACCGTGTTCCTGGACTGGGGTGCGGGAGCTGGCAATGTTCATGTGGGCGTCATGAAAGACTTCCCTTCTGAAGTCATCTTGGGCAACGACATTGGGCCCCTGACTTCGGCGTTCGCCTCTACCACCGCTCAGGAGGTCCACGCAGTAACCACCAGAGCACAAAGTCAGCTGCCGAAAGCCATCCGCTTCCTACTGAGACCCAGGTAAGCCAACCCAACCTACCCTTGACTGTAGAACCCCTACCCTGGGACACCCCAGAGGACTTTGTGCGGGAGGTGACGGAGACCCTTCCCTCAGAAAGTATTGGGAGAAAGCCAGGAGGGGCAAAGGGGGGTTAGAGAAGGAGCAATTTATCTGGGAGAAAGGCCGCTTGTACAGGCTCACGGAGACCCGGGGTAATGCACCAGGGCCTAAGCAAAAACGCCAGCTGGTAGTTCCCCAGAAGTACCGGCAGGACTTATTGAGGATTGGGCATGACGTACCCTTGGCAGGCCATTTGGGAATACGCAAGACGGGTTATCGGATAACCCAGAACTTTTTCTGGCCTGGGGTATCCGACGACGTCAGGGCGTGTTGTCAAACGTGCGAGGTATGCCAACGTATAGGTAAAAAGGGAGACCACCCAAAGGCTAAACTAGTTTCCATGCCCATTATTGAAGAACTGTTCACAAGGGTTCACAACTGTTCACCCCATAAAAAGGATCTGGGTGAACCACATATCCAAAATTCACCCAGATCCGTTCAGTACTTTGGAAAATACAGTTTAATGCAGATTCTGCAGAACATATAAAGGCTAAATGAAAAACAATCACTGTATAATGTGTCCCCTGCTGTATAGTCCAAAACCACCGCACGATGTCTCTGTGCAACAAATACTGGCGAGATGGCACTGTGTTGAAAAGTCCAAACAGTGTCTGTGAGTTAAAATGGCCGCCATCCATTGTTCTCACCATGTGCTTCTGATACAGGAAATGGTGGCCACCCAGTAACTCCACAGTATGTCCCCAGATGGTTCTTAAAGGGCCAGCAGCAGCAGCACAACACAAATCCATTATGCCCAAATCATGTCTTTAAAGGGCAATACATCCCAGGGGCTATAGTCACAGGGCAAGAGGCGGGCAAGCAGTCCTCTCCAGGCACAAGTGGCGAAGGGCACTTCGTCACAAATACGTTCCCCTCCACGAATCAAACTGGCGTTCGGTAGATAGTATTTACCGAATGAGGGGAACATTCACAGGTAACCAGCTGAACCATACGAACTGTGGTTTTCGTGTAGTTAGATGCGAACGGAGACCGGCTCTTGCTACTGATTCTATGAAACTGTAACTCGGATACCTCCACATGGCAAGCCGGTCAAACTTCCACACGATGCGACACGGAAACTACCGAACGGAAATTCGTGAGATTTGGATATGTGACTACCAGTATCCTCAGCTACCCAGGGATGTCAAAAGTATATTTGTATGTCTTATAAAAAGTATGTTTCTGAAATTGTTATAAATTGTAATGTTTCTGGCCAGCAGATAATTGAGCTTTGTGTATTGTAGAAACTCAATTATCTAGCCTGGCCCAGAGGAGGAGTTTTGTGTTGCATAAATTGTGAGTTCTGTGTGCCAGTAAACCAGTCTTGTTCCAGCATTAAGCTTTGGCTCATGTGTGGATTATTCGGCAATTCCAGGGATATTTCTGCTTATGGAATATTGAGTGCTTTTCTTTTATGGGAAGAAGGGAATGCTTGACGGGGATATTTTCTACTACCGTCACACTCCCTGTATCCTCCCTGTATCCCCCCTGTATCCTCCCTGTAACCTCCCTGTATCCTCCCTGTGACCTCCCTGTATCCCCCCTGTATCCTATCTGTATCCCCCCTGTATCCTATCTGTATCCCCCCTGTATCCTATCTGTATCCCCACTGTATCCTCCCTGTACCCTCCCTGTATCCCCCCTGTATCCTATCTGTATCCTATCTGTATCCCCCCTGTATCCTATCTGTATCCCCCCTGTATCCTCACTGTATCCCCCCTGTATCTGTATCCCCCCCTGTATCCTATCTGTATCCCCCCCTGTATCCTCACTGTATCCCCCTGTATCCTCACTGTATCCCCTGTATCCTCACTGTATCCCCCCTGTATCTTATCTGTATCCCCTGTATCCTATCTGTATCCTCACTGTATCCCCCTGTATCCTCACTGTATCCCCCCTGTATCCCCCCTGTATCTTATCTGTATCCTCCCTGTATCCTATCTGTTTTTCGTGCGGCGTTCGGTTATTTTAGCTGGGATCTGAGCGGTAATCTCACGAATGATGCGCTCAGATCCCAGCTATCTATTGAACGTCCATTCGTTTAAATGAACTGTTTAAATGAAGTTATAGATTTTAATGTAAATTGTGGGTTCTGCTGCACGGAGGGATAATCCACTTAACGGTACATTCCTGTGGGAGGATCCCTCTCGTGCAGCAGTGCCTGATGGGAGAAAGGCTCTGTAATGGAAGTTCCCCATGTAGTCCACTCTGGGAATGCCCCTGGGATGGGACTCAGGAAACCCCTTGCATGGGGAATTGTATAAATTGTGGAGCTGAAAATAAAGACCTCAGTTGACTCTCAGAACTGTGTTTCGTCCGGTTACTGGGAGATTTGGGATATTGCCTTGCTTTTCAGCGCTGACTGTGGATTACTGTATGTACCACCGGAATTCGTGGGATTTAATATTGCCAGTCCGCTACACCCACTTCCAGCGATACAGCTGCCCCAAGGTCTCGCCGTCTCCACCCACCCTGGATCCACAACCAGGATCCAGCTCCCAGTGGGTGAACCTCTCCTAAATCCAGAGAGCGTAGCAGGAACAAATCAAGCTATTGCAAGAGCTTACTCTGGGGAGTAAGTGATTATAGCAATCCCCAGAGTGTAGGTATCCCTTCCCCCAAACATGAGCCAAGGCTTCAAGAAAGGTACAAGATGATCTGGTTTTAATGACCACACACTGGCTTTTATGCAAGTCCCCATGCAAGGGGACATCCCACAGGGTGGGACCCAGTATAACCAATCACAGACAATACAAACAAAACACTCCCACAGTGACATCTCAATCCCTCTTCTCTATTCTGGAGATAATTGGGAAGTAATCAAATTATCCAGGGATAGAAGCAGACTCCATTGAGCACATGTTCCCAGTAAAACACAAAAGGATACAAAAATACATAACTCCTATCATACTGAATTGAACGGGCCAAATCTCCCAGGGTACATAGTCACAGGGCAAGAGGCGGGCAAGCAGTCCTCTCCAGGCACAAGTGGCGAAGGGCACTTCGTCACACTCTGATTGGTGGATTTCAAGCCAACCAATCAGAGTGCTGTGACAGGTAAATGTAGAGACTTACCTGTCAGTCTCTTCATTTACCTGTCAGAGCACTCTGATTGGATGACTTAAACCCACCAATCAGAGTGATCTGAGCCTAATTGCAGGGCGGGGCAAGGCTTTATAAGCCTTCCCCCGCCCTGCAGAGCTCAGTCTGTGCGGAGCCCTGCATGGGTGAAGAAGGATTTTTTTTTTGCGCTCGTTTTTTTTTTTTTTTTAAGTGTGTCAGTTATTATGGATTTTTTATTTGGCCTTTTTTGATTAATCTTTATTTAGTATTAGTAAATTTGGCTGAAAGACCAATTTAGGTCTTTCAGCCTTTTAGTAGATAGCTCCCTGATACTGTGGGAATTAGGGAGTTATCTACTTATTCATTCCTGTCATTACATTGACTGGCTAAGTAACTTACATTTTGTATGAATGTATGTTACTTGATTGTTGTAAGTGTTGCAAATGCTTACAGCTGAATCCTGGCTATGTTTGTATACTTTTTATTTAAAATTGTATACAGTGTAACATTCTTCATTCTTCCACTGGGTAAGTATATCAGTTCTTAGGCAATACTGTGCTTCGGAACTTCAGCAACTTCGGAAATTCGGTAATTTCGGAACTTCGGGATTTCGACCATTCGGCAATTCATCTTTTCGGACATTCAGAAGTACCCGAATGTCAGAATTTCCCGAAATTTGTCCGAATTAACATTCGGAACGAAACAAATTGCACATGTCTGCTAGTCTTCCAGATAGCTTAACTTGGAGAATTTCGCTTGTATCATTGTAGCGGAAGCCTAGTCCTAACAGGGACTCTTCTCTGTTGGTTACTCCAAAATACACTCAGGAACAAGTAAAACAATCCAAGGATTTCCCACCAACTCCCCAGCAACTGGACGACACTCAGCTCTGGGGGTATAACTGAACTTTATTGCCACATACATGGCTTTTATGCCCAGTCCCACACAAGGGGTTTCACATGCAGAAAATGCAGGGGTTTCAATCCCAAGATCCCTTGTGCCTGAGAGATATTTGCCTGAGTAAACTCCTCTAATTTAATTATCTCTCAGAATCCTCAAAATATCCTCTACCCCAAAAGTCTCCCAACCATACCTGGAAACCCCACAAAAAGCAAATTCCCTGAAAGCCACGATCTGAGTAACCAACATATCCAAGAATCACTCAGATCGCTTCGGTAGAAAGGGAATGCCATCGTGTGGAAGTTTTTACCGGCCAGACACGTGGCGCTAGCCCAAAATAGTTCCAGGGAAATATGTGTCCTTGCCGGTCTCCATTCATGGGGCTCCCTTGCGAAAACCATACAATCTCTCGTGTTAAGGTTACGAATGCTCCCCCGTTCGGTAGTTTATATCTCCCGAAAGTCGTTCGTGTAGGTGGTCGGGAAAATTAACGGGTTTACCGGTGTTGGCATGAGTGCCTAGCCTAAAATAGTTCCAGGCACTGGTCCTGTATCCAGTGAAGTGCTAAACCTTACTTTTTATCTTTCATTCTGTCCTCTATATCTTCTCAGGCTTCTAGCAGATTTCCTCTTTCTTCCTTTTCTCCTCTCTCCACTTTCCACTTTTCCTCTTTCTTTTTTCTGAAGAACCTTTTAACTTTAACTTTTTATAATGGCAAGGTGGTTATCCTTTCAGTGAATTATGTCATTTAGTAAGACCTAATCTGTCTGCTGCTTTATATGTAGAGAATATTCAACCTAACAGCTCAATTCAGCAGGGGGTTAGTCAGTCTGCCATTTCATCGGTTCTCAATAGGTGGGTTTAAGTATTGGTATTGGGTTTGTTTACATAGCAATGCTTAGTAACACACGTTTGTAACGGACCGTTTTGCTCACAAGAGGTTAAAAAACGTTTAGGTGATTGTAGCGGAACGCCAATATTAAATCCACGAATTCCGCTGGTTCAGGAAGTAATCCACAGTCAAGCGCTGGAAAAAGCAAGGCAATATCCCAAACCTCCCAGTAACCGGATGAAACACAGTTCTGAGAGTCAACTGAGGTCTTTATTTTCAGCTCCACAATTTATACAAGTCCTCATGCAAGGGGTTTCCTGAGTCCCCTCCCAGGGGCATTCCCAGAGGGGACTACATGGGGGACTTCTTGTACAAGCTATTTCTCCCATCAGGCACTGCTGCACGAGAGGGATCCTCCCACTGGAATATACCATTAAGTGGAGATTATCCCTCCGTGCAGCAGAACCGACAATTTATATTAAAATACACAACTTTTCGAATATGCAGTCTATTTGCACGAATGGACGTTCGATAGATAGCTGCGGTCTGAGTGCATCATTCGTGAGATTACCGCTCAGATCCCAGCTAAACCAACCGAACACCGCGCAAAAAACACATTCATTAAAATACAGGTTCAAAATACCGATTGCCTTCCAGGGAACAAAATAGCGAACGCCCCGGGACTCCCGAACGGCCTGGAAGCTCAGCGGTGTTCGCACCGTCGAGTAGCCGTTTTTAGTAACATGCGCTCGACGACCAAACACCGCTGAGGGAACAAAGGATCCAAGATGGCCAACCGCCGCATGGTCGGTAGTCGAACGGCGGCCACCTAGGAGAGCCTCTAATTACCGATTGCAACATTGTTGCAATCGGTTAACAAGTGCCACACGCCTCTAAGTGTGTGGGCTACTACATGGGGTATTTTCGGTTCACGAATGGCCCGCAAAAGTGCAGTTCGTGAAACGAAGGAAAATACAATACATACAGCTATCTGCATTCGGCAGATAGCCCATACAGCATGTGACGAGACCAATCTCACCACATTGCATTGGAGAAGCCTGGTTGCTCGCCTGCTGCCTTTGGACTATGGCCCCCTGTTAAAAGACATATTTTTTACCTGCAGAAAAGCTTCATTCGTGCTTTTCTGACTGGGGTTCGGTAGATTTGTTTGAATGTGTTATACCCCAGATAGGAATCCCATGGAGCCCATTCGTATGAAACTGACTGTAAAGACTTTGGCTCCATGGCGATTAAACTGTATTCGTGTGGTCTGAGCGCCATTCACTTAATAATGTGCGCTCAGACCTGAGCTATCTAGGGATATGTTAAATGTATAGTTTAATGTAAGGTGTCTTACCTGATGTATTTTAAAGTGTTTTACTGTCTTTGTGTCCCCATGTGCTCAATGGAGTCTGCCTCTATCCCTGGATAATTGGATTATTTTCCCCATTGTCCAGGATAGAGGGCTCTGTAAAACCTGTTTGAGCCAGATAGCCATGCTGCCAGCCAGGGTACAAAAGATACTTTTTACTAACTTTTGAACCCCTGGTCTGATTCATGCCATTTTTTAATATGATTGTGAATATGTAATTTTATGTGAATGTGATGTATGGTTTTAGAGTTATGAAAGTTGGGTAGAAAGTATGTTTTAACTGTATGTGTAATTGAGTTTCCTCTCAGGATAAGGGGAGGGAATATGTGGGATGTAACTGATATGTGATTGGTTGTTTTATACCTCCCTGTGGGCGGTCCTGTATTTGAAAAGACTGTAATAAAAACCAGGCTGGGTGTGCCAGCACCTCAGACCACTGCTTGACCCTCAACACGGAGCCTTGTCTCGTTCTTGGGATTCACTGTATGCTGTTAGCAGTGGTGTATCCTGGTTTTGTGCTGCCCTAGGCAGGACAAAAACTCAGGCGCCCCCCCCCACCGCGCCAGTCTCCCCCAACCCTTCCCCCCCGCCCCGCCTTCTAAATACACACACACACACACACATTCACTGACAGATCCGCATACACTCGCTAACAGAAACACACACTAAGACACACACTCACTGACACACAAACTCACACTAACAGACACACACACACAGTCTGACACACACATACACACTAACAGACAAACAGTCAGACACACACACTAACAGACACACACTCACTAGCAGACACACACACACACTCACACACTCACTAGCACACACACACACATTCACTGACAGATCCGCATACACTCGCTAACAGAAACACACACACACTAACACACACTCACTGACACACACACTCACTAGCAGACACACACTAACAAACACACATTAACTGACACACACACTCACTAGCAGACACACACACACTCACTGACACACAGACACACTAGCAGACACACAAACTCACACACTAACAAACACACACACACACACTGACAGACACACACACTGACAGTCAGACACACACTCACATTAACACTTTTTTTTTTTTTATTCACCCCCCCCCCACCTCCTTACCTCTGGGAGTGCTGGGGGGGAAGGGGTTCATTACCTCCCTGGTGGTCCAGTGGCTGCTGTGCGGGCGGCGCTGGGCAGACGGCTGGCGAGGGAGCTCTTCCCCTGAGCGGTGCGCTCGAGGGAGCTGAGCAGACCGCTCAGGGGAAGTGCTCCCTCGCCAGCCGCCTGCCCAGCGCCTCCCGCACAGCCCGGCATGTCTATTAGCCGCCATACTAACAAGGCATTTGCCCTGGGCATT